TATTTAAATAGTATGATATATTTGTCATTTTATATTTTTTATTGAAAAAATGGATGAAAATGAAGATTTCTGCAATGAAAAGTGAAGTAGTAAGGACGAAAATGCCAAAAAGTGAAATGTATTGATGTTTTGTATTAATTACCCAATTTATTTACCATGAAGAGAAAAATTATATTGCCTTCGTAGGAGAAAACAAAGGCTGTCGAAAAAGCCCTGAGCAATGAGATGTTGAGAAAAAAGAAAAAAGAAAAAAGGAAAGAAATTAGGTTTATATTTGTGGTGTAACAATAATTTATGTGATCAAGAAGTATATTAAAATCCTAATTATGTAATTTCATTTAAGGATATTTAACTAAATAGGCATTGGTAATATAATTACATTCTTTTAAATTATTAAAATTAGAGAGGGTGTCTTTGAATGGCCATGAATCTCCCTAGGAGGTTTCTAAAATTTACCTATTTATAATTTATACCGTCTATAAACACTTCCAAAAATGCTTCTCTCTTTATTTAAGTGACTTATCTTGATAGGAAATTATCTTTCGTTCTAGTTATAGTCTTCTTTAATTACAAGTGATTTCACATCCTTCTACCACCACGGTGAGAAATGTGAAATTCACTATTTCTTCATCTATTAGAATGTCTCCTCACATACGGTCATATGTCCAAACTTGCTTCTTTTTTCAAAGATGGAAAAGAAGATTAAGAGTTGACTTATTTATAAATCATTTAAATTATAAATAAGATAGAAAATGAGTAGATGATAAGTAAATAGTACTTAGGGACAGGAACGGATTCAGGAATGAATCTAAGATCGGGTTACAAAATTTGAAACCAGGATACTACAGGAAAAAAAATTTACACATAAAAAACTGAGTTTTCACTAAAAAAATAAAATATAAAATACCTTAAAAAAAACTCTTGGGCCTGAGTGGGGGACGGGGGTACGGCCCAACCCAACCCCCTTTTAAATCCGTCTCTGCTTATGGATTTCTCAAAATTTATATGTATTATGTATTTATAAACATGCGCAAACATAGACAATTCATGACTTCAAATGAACACTTTGGGAAATTTAGGTGCATCTCGTGTTCTTCAAAATGTTGAACTCTAATCGAGGTGCTCAGTGTGCTATCTTTCTTTAGTAACTTCACTATGCCATATTGTCTTCATTAACTTCACTAATATATAAATTATATAGACTTCTTTAATTTGAGCAATGGACTAATCTTTTAGTATTTTTCTTATCGCTTATCTTCCAATTCTGCATGAATGTAAATACCTTTAATCCATCATTTAGACATGCCTTTAACCCACACCACATCCACCCCCAAGCCCCACTATTGCCGACCACCGTCCCATGACTAGACCCAGCAACGGCAGCCACCCGCCGGCATCCGAAAGTTCCAATGTTAACTCTCTCTATACATCACCATCAATCCTCGCTAGCCACCGCCATAAATTTGTATCTTTTCCAAGTCTGCCTCCCCACACTGAAATCCCAATTATACGCAAGTAGATCTTTACTTTCCTATGAAGTCCCTGATTTCTTTTTTTCCCAATCCCCTATTTTTTCACTCCCAAATATAAATGACAAACTCATAAAAATGGACCAGAATTATAACAATTCAATCTCTATGCCCAATCTGTTAACTAATGTACTATTCACTATGGGCGATAGCCTGAGTCCTTTATAAGGTAGAGATCTTAAGCTCAAATTTTGGGAAAGTGATAGAAATTCGTGAAGTGTAATGTTCGCGAAATTATTTCTTTCGATTTTAAACCACCGCGAGTGTACGATTTGTTAACTAGTAATAAAGTGGATTCAATGAGTCCGAATATCATTACACAGAGATTGATTAGTTCAAATTTTATCTACCTTAACCTTAACCGAAACTAAATTACCAAAGTTAATGTAGACCTGATTGAACCTCAATTATGCAAATTTTTTTATGATTAAATTGAAACTAATATGCTAAACAATAATTTAAAACTTTAGAATGAAATTTAAAAGTTGAGAACGCACTTGTTATAATTATTAGGAAAAAAATACGCTAGGATCACGAATTTCCATGCAATAATCACTTTAAACCCTTGTTTTACAATATGACAACACATTTCAATTTTGACGAATTAATGTTCCTAAGTCTATCCAATACTCTCTCTCGAGATGTATCAAACCTATTTCTACATACCACCGGTCTATATTTCTATGACAAGAACATATGTAAAAATGCATGCGGTTTTATGAACATTTAAAGATTCACATAGGGTATAGCGGTATATTTCTATCCACTATCGGACCTTACGATAATTTATATTATGTCAAATATATTCCAATTTTCTCGAATGCAAGAATAAATCACTTAAATTCACACAATTACGAGCCCTTAATTGCAAAAACATGAATTGCATATAAATCATTCAAAATAATAAAAATTGTGTCTTAACATCAAATTGCAAAACTAGAATATTAAAATTCAAACCACATGGTTCGTCGATCTCTTAGCATAATAAAAATCTAGCCTAACATGATTAAAATAACAAAATACATCATAGTTTGCATATAAGACATCACCGGGTTATAAAACTTGAATAAATCTTGAAGTTCTTCGTGCTAATCTTTGTTCTTGCGCTCAAATCCTCTCCAAGAGTTGTTTTTCGGCCTCCAATTACGTTTTGGGCATCTCTGGAATGTTTTTGATATTTATATCCCTTGGAAAATTAGGTTTCCATAGGTATTTCAATCGTATAAGGAAAGAAAAGATTCGCGCTGAAATTGTACCATGCGATCGCATGGTTTTAATCCATGCGGCTGCATGGTTATCCTCTTTTTCTAGTTGAATTCCCTGCATCACTTCGTGCGGCCGCACGACATTTCTACCATGCGACCGCATGGTAGAATTAATCTTTCATTTCCTACAAATTGGTCATTTTACTTGAATCTTCCACTTCTTTGCATTTTTTTTCATTCTTTGCATTCCATCATTCCAAAATGTCATCAATTTGTATTTGGCAAACTCAATTTCTTGATTTGTTCATCGGGTCAACTTTTGGGTATTTGCACCTTGATCCTTGAACTTTCACTTTGTGTCATTTTAGTCCTTTTTCGCGTCTTTTCTCGTGTATTTCACCATGTTCATCGGTGTTGCCTACAATTCACAAATGTAACGAAATTAAGTCACAATTCAATCATTTTATTCGTAATTGAGTCATGTTTGTGACCTAAATAAGTGTACAAAAACACACTTATCATGTAAGATGAGTTCAAATTCTCTCAAAACAAATAGTACATATTTTATAACTATTTCAACAAAATTCCTGGATCATTGAGCAAAGATGTGCATTTTTTTATGGCATTTTTGTACACCAAGAGAGAAAGATGCTTAGGCCATTTCTAACGCTGCAACAAAATTTGCACCAAACTAAAATTCATTTCCAATCATTATATCAAAACTTACATCAAATAAATAGTGTTTAACCATTTTCTTCTCTTTTTTTATTCTTAATAATTTATTTAATTATATTACAAATACATAAATTACTACAAAATAATTATATTAAATTAAGAAAAATATTAAATTCATTAATAAATATAGAAAAACATAGTACAATTAGTAAAAACACTACAAAAATGAAAATATTGAATCGTGTCATTAAAAAAAAGTACAATACATTTTGAATTTGGATATTATGATATTACGAAGTCGAAATATTATTATAATTTAATTCTCGAAATTCATATGTCTTTCCCACAAATGATTGATTAATGCATTTCGAAGTGTAATGTGAGCCCCTTTATCCTTGATTTGTTTATGACGAATAAGGAATTCTTGAAAACGTTGATTTTCGTATTCAACAAACTCAACTTCTGGACTTGGCGCTTTCGTCCATTCTCGAATTGGTGCATCAAAATCACATTTGTCCTCGATAGTTAATTCATTAATTATTATTTTTTACACTTAAAATTTATTTTTAATGCAAATAATAATAATAATAATAATAGTAATAGTAATAGTAATTTATTGTATTAAAAAATATAGAACAAATGACACAGACACCCTAAATCAATTTATTTGGGAAATGAAAATGAAGAGTAAAAATGGCTTTGGACCCTTTGCACTTTGCATCATTTTGAACCAAAAATAGTGCAAAGTTTGGTGTTGTATCGGAGTAGAATTGCACCATTTTTGTGCAATTTGGTGCCACCATTGGAGATGGCCTTATGTTCCTCTACATTTAAGAGAGTGGTTGAATGGCTCAGAGAAGATGATTTTCGACTAGACAATGGTTACTAGCAAATCTTTCGTGGTGTTGGGATTCAGTGTGACGAGGCAGTCTTGGAAAAAATTCAAATTTATGGTGGTAGTCATCGGAGATTGACAGTGTTACGTAGAGCGAATGAGATGAAGACTTGGATGGTGGCAAAGCGATTATGGATGCTTGTGTTGATTTTTGTAGTGTTCGTGATAGTAGTAGTTGTATGTTGCTACTCATGGGGATAATGGTGGGCATTGAAGAGGGAGGCTGTTTTTTTTATGATATCTTTTTATTTTTTAATTTAAAGTTAAGGGAAATATTGTATTTTTACACCACTTTGATGGAATCCGAGATTGGGGATGATTTTTGCAAATTTCCAAAATACTAGGAAATCGACGGCAAAAAATCAAAGATATGGACTAAATTTGCAACTTTTGAGGAAGGTTAGGATGAAATCAGCATTTATCCAATAATATAATAATGAAGTATAAGCACTTATTGTTAAATATCTTATTTTCAAGACAAGAACTTTGTTTTCATCGACGGTCCAACCAAACTTGACTATCAAGCTAAAACAAACTTGGTGGCTGTGGGTCAACTGCCCATCAAAATTAAACCCACTTCAAATTTTCAATTTTGAAAGGGCCAATTTCCAATTTCTCAGGGACCTAAATGAAAATACTCTAATTTCAGCTTAGACTTTGATTTTATCAACGACTTTCATCAATTCCGGCGCCCCCACCACATCACAGCTCCCCCAATAAATTACATAAACCCATTATCAGACGCACACAAGCAATTTCCTGGTATTATCTTGATGTATCGGCAGAGAGGATACCGTTTTCCTTTTCACATGAACATAAACAAAGACTAAAAGACAAAGACTTGGCCTTGTCTGAAAAACTTGTATACAAAAATCAATCGAGAAAGCACTTTTTTTCCCCTTTTGATTTTGGATCGAGAAGTGTTTAAATTTTGTATACCAACAAGAAACAAAATTCTGGATTTTATGCAGGTTTTGTATGGTTTTGAATATTTGCAGTTTAGATATGGAGAAAAAGCCCAGCAGCAGTTTTATGCGCATGATCAAGGTACCCCTCTTCAGAACTATATGCAAAAGACAGTTTTGAACTGCTATATAATTTTTTTATTCTTATTATCAATTCAATTTTCTTTAGTTTTATTCTGGCGTCTTACTATCAAAACAAAAAAAAAAAAAATTTCATGAGTCATTTTTCTAATAATTTCTGAAGGACGACCCACCAAGCAACGGAACGTTGTGCGGTAGGTAGAGGCAGAAGTCGATAAGCTCATAAAAGTGTTCTCAATTTCGAGGATACAACAGTTCTTGTTTAGTTTTTTTTTTTTTTTTTTCATAATCAGCTATGTATAAAGGATCTTGTCTGATTTTGATTTTTTGTGGGATTTGGTAGAAAGCTGTTTGCTTAGATGGATCTTCACCGGACACTGGAAAAGGGAAGAGTAAGTTTGAGTCATCATCATGTACTAATAAAGTTTCTCATGGATTCCACTTGGTGGAAGGACAGTCGGGTCACAACATGGAGGATTATCATGTGGCTGAGTATCGGAAAAAAAAGGGCCATGCTGTCGGTTTGTTCGCAATTTTTGACGGTCACCTTGGTGATCGTGTACCGAGTTATTTAAGGGATAATCTCTTTAACAACATACTTGAACAGGTATATTTTAATCTGTTTGTCGATTTTTTCCTCTAAAGAATGTCTTTGTTACTTCTGCAATTCTCAGCAGGCCTTCTCAATTCTTGTCTTTTGATAGAAGTATTGGTGCAGTAAGTTTAACTTTTACCTACAATTAGGCAGTTCATACATCGAGGTTGAAGAATTGAAATGATGTAATAGACTTGGTATATGCAAATAGAATAAAATTAGGAACATAACATGGTAAGCTATGATTGGAGATACAACTTGAATTGAGAATTTCTTGGATATGGAAAGCCCCATTAAAGAAAAAAAAACTAGATATGAAAAGGTGAAGACCGGTGTTTTCAAAAGGCTCATGAGGTGCCTGCAAATGAGATGTAATCAATCAGCGCATTGCATATCGAAGGAGCGTAATTTGCTAAGTTTTGGAGACCACAATGAAATTTTTTGTTTATAGGAGTTTTGGGTTTTACACTGAATCATGCTAATAGGAATTGTATATTCTTGGATGATATGTGGAATTAAAGATTGTAAGTGGCGAAGGAATGATCCTGTAGATATAATTGACTTCGAAATGTTGCACAGTTCGAATGTGATCTTTGGACCAATTTGACATTGAAATTCAATTTGCACAAGAATTAAAATATGAAATGTCTTTATGTCTTTCTCAATAAGAAATTGGTAGGAACAAAGTGAAGCAGCATTGCCTATGTCTTTTCTTTTGGTTTTGCACAATTGTGTCTAGGACCCAGTAAAATTAGTTTAAGACAGGTTTGGTGAATGAAAATGCTTACACATTCCATTTGTTGCTTTCATGGTAGTGTGAGAACTGGGATTTACCATCCTATGTTGCCTATTCTCAGGTATGAGTGTTGGACATGGTAAGGTCCCAAGTGTCGGAGATGCAACTGTGGACATGGGTGTGGGGATGCATCATTCTTGAAAGTAGTAGACTAATATTAGGACGTTCTAATTATATTTGAGATAAATTTGACATTGGAAGTTGTCGAAGTAATCAATTTCTCAGAAAATGATACTTTTGTTGGTAAATTTTTGTTGTGCATTATCAAGAGGTGTCTAAAGGTCATATCCACTGTCAAGATATGTAGGTTGTGTACATTGTGCTAAATTAAGTGGACTAATTATTTTAAATGGTTAGTTTGATGAAGATAATGATCCAATAAATGAATTGTCATGGAAAACCTTCCTTGAGTTGAATTTAGAAAGCGGAAGCTTTCTACTTAGCTGATTAAGAGTAGGAAGGTATTCAAAAGTCATGGTTTCTTTCCTAAAATCTGGCCCCACCCACACTGGATACATCAAATTGAGTCACTGAAGAGAGAGAAATCACATTAGACTGCACGAGTTCTATAGTCCTTTATTATTATTATTATTATTATTATTATTATTATTATTATTATTATTATTATTATTATTATTATTATTATTATTATTTTCACTCATTTTGATGCATTCTTGCATTAAGTACACTAAAAGACAGGGTTGGATGGGAGAATTTTCTTCTACTATTTATTTAAGTTTATTGAGTTATATGCTCCCAAGAGAAATTTGATCACGTACAAAGAAAGACTTGATATTCATGATGATAAATGGTAATCCTTGTAATATTCCTCAATGATTATCCCTTTCCACAACAAACTCTTCCTGCACCCACCTTTTAACTGTCTCCTATTCCAAGTTCCATGAATCATAATTTATTTTAACTAACATGTGCAGCCTAATTTTTGGGAGGACCCTAAGACTGCCATAAAAAATGCTTACCGCTCGACAGATAAAGTTATACTTGAGAACTCCATGCAATTAGGACCTGGTGGGTCAACAGCAGTGACTGCAATCGTAATTGATGGAAAAGACCTGTGGGTGGCAAACATTGGTGATTCCCGAGCTGTCTTGTGCAAGGGTGGAACAGCCAGTCAACTTACTGTGGACCATGAGCCACACAGTGAACGAAGGAGAATTGAGAAACGGGGTGGTTTCGTGACTACTCTTCCTGGTAAATAATTTATATTTATTTGGCTCTTTTCCTAGAGATATTTGAAGACAAAAATGTCTTGGATTTATAAATTAAAATAGGAGCATGTCTGGCAAATCATACAAAAAAAACGTGTGTTCAGATAGGCTTGGATTACTTCTTTCTTCCTTTTTAAGTGAAAAAAAATTACTTTTTTCTTATCTTACAATCAAAATAAGTAACTTGTTTCAACCTCGATCTGTCAAAAATATTATTCATTTTAAGACCTTTATATTATTATGTGCAAGGAAAGTTAATTGCAAGCGAACCTTTTAAGCTTGTCAAACATGGTCATTTTACATTCATCCAGGAGTTGTGTCTTGTGCCCCTGAAAATTTTAATTTCAAGTGAACTTTTTAAGCTTGCCGAACATGCTCAAATTTTGCAATTATCTGGGAGTTCGATTTGTCACCCTCACACTAAACTTTTAACTTCCTGTTACAGGAGATGTGCCTCGGGTTAATGGCCAACTTGCTGTTGCGCGAGCTTTTGGAGATGAAAATCTAAAAGCACATTTGAGTTCAGAGCCTGATGTTTGTAATGTGCTCATTGACTCGAGAACAGAATTTGTTATATTGGCAAGTGATGGCTTATGGAAGGTGAGTCTTGTACTATTTCATCAAGGAACTTTCTTTTGCGTCATTGGCAATTTTTTAATGCAAACACATGAGGTCTTGCAATTTATTCTTTGAAATAACCAAGGAAATGAAGCCTATGGCAGCAGTTGTTAATAGCAATAAATGAGTGATCATGAGCTCTTTTTCACGACTTACTTCACTGAAAGCATCCAAGAAATGTCGAGTGTTTGAAAGCAATTAATTGGGTCACGTAGATGTTCCTATGTTGGAATAGTGAAATTTCGTTGCTTAGAATACATAAGATTGTTTTTATTGGGTTTTAAGATTAGGAAGTAATTCATTAGGATCCTGCATCATAAGATGATTGTCATGTTTTATAATAGTAAATAAGCTGGCTTATGTTAACTCTTTGTTTTCTTTCTCAACATCTTAAAACCGAGCATATTATACTAGTTGTTTCATCTACTGATGTATTCTTCGTTCTTATATGTTTTTTCAAATTTCGATGTGAAACGGCCATTACAGATAGATTTAGGAGCAATCTAATATTACCACTGGTCAATTTTCTTTACTTCGTAAATTATACGAGTTGTACTCGCAATCTTTGGCCTCCATACTAGTCTTCTATATGACTTAAGGAACTCTAGCTTGCATATAGTATTGTATTCATACGGTTACTTTTTCATATTTAAGCTCTGATCTGCTAAGGTTACGTTCTCATTGGGTACAAGCATAAATTATTTACTTGTTACGATTATTTTATTAATTTACTATCACTCGTGACTAATTCTATAGTATGTACAAATACCATGTTTTCTTTTGCGGAAGTGAACAATCACATCATGTCCTCTCACTTCATGTCTTCGAATTATCTTGTAAGGAAAGGAAAAGTACAAGCTCTCAATGAAAAAAATGAAGCGATTCCTTGTCTCGTAGTTAAATAGCATTAAGATGTAGCTCACCTTTATACGTGCACTTTAAGTTCATATAAGCAATTTCAACGGCAGGTAATGGCCAATCAAGAGGCAGTTGATAAGGTAAGATCCATTAAAGATCCTCAACAAGCAGCAAAGCAGTTAACCATGGAGGCTTTGACAAGAAAGAGTAAAGATGATATATCATGCATTGTGATCCGTTTTGGATATTGTCCGAAATAAATTATAAATGACAAAATGAACTACGACTGTCTCAACCTACTTCTTCATGTGCATTGCCTGCATGTTCTCTTTGTTTATTTCTCGGTTTTGTTGGAAAGAGATGCACATATGGAAGTGATAGTAGAAACTTTTTCTTTTGGATTGTGTCTAAAGGAGCTTGATTATATATAGTGTTTCATTTTTGGGAGGAAAAAAAAGTATAACTCATTGGCTATTCTATGTGTGTGCATAAAGCTTTCTGATTTAGATATGTGATTGTGTCCTATGCTTGGAACAAATGTATTTGTTGTTTGTATTGTGTAAATATATGTGGACTTAATTTGAAGGACACAACTCATTCATTCATTCATTCATTCATTCACAGCTCCAGTTCAATTCTTGAAATATATTACGATTTCTTTGACCGGTTTAAGTTTATTCTTTTCCTTGAATTAATTATGATTTTATATTATGAGTTGTCTTAAATTATGACGTTTCTTTAAAATGATGACAACACCAGAGTGTTGGGACCGCGTTGAATTAGATGCAAGCTTTTTGAAGCACAGGTCATCGAACAACAATGTCGTCTGAGATAGTACTCATGGTTAAGAATGGCAAGCAAGCGGGGATGGGTAGTGGCGGGGTCGACCTCCATGTCGGGGGAATTTCGCTAGATGGCTGCGTGGGACAGGGGCAGGCATTAAAATTTCTTTATTTTTCACTTGTTTACTTCACACACACTTGACCTGAAAGAGCGAACAACACTTGAAATCTCCTTTCTTTCATAAATTGTATAGAGTGACCTGTGGGAAAATAAGTCTTGGAAACTAGGACGTATGAGGGTTTTCCTTTCTTTCCGTTTTAAAGAGATTAGTCTCGTGAGATCATGATCTATTTTTCATTCCAATTCTTTCTGAACACCTCCCAAGGAAAATATCGAATTGGATCTGAAATTTTGCGGGCTAGTATGAGCTTATCCATGAGGTATGTACGCTTCAAATAGGAATTCGTTTTCCAAAAGATCCTGATTTTCGTACTTTGATGGGTCTTTGGGATCCTTTTGATGACTAAATCGACCATAGAGCTAAAGCCTTGAACTCAAGAAAGCAAGTTCAGAACTCCAAAACTGACAGACTGATAAAGCATACGGGTGCACTACTATTGCCTTCCTATCAAGTTCTTAGTCATTTGATCAAAGAAAAATGTCTTTATCCTTCCCAGAACCCTATACCATCTTTTCCTCTCGTCCCACACTACCTGTCTTATGGATATGGATCTACATTTTGTTGCCCAAGGAGCTTATAGAGGCATTTAATTCGACAGGGAGGGATTGAAAATGTGATTGATAAAAATGCTTTTGAAACTCGATTTGTTGCAATAAGAGGTGTTGTCTTCGCCTTTTTCAGTAAATTTAAATATAATAAAATAAAAAATAGGAATTGGGACAGAGTAGAGTGGATTTTTTCGTCATCCTTGCTTGTGATGAACATTGATCTGTCAATCATGTTCTCAAAAAGAAAATTTTTGCAAATTTTATTCCTCAAGTTAACGTCAAGCTCAAGGATACGGGAGTGTTTCTTTTGTCGGGGTCAACTTAAGGAAAAAGTGCTTAAAAAATTGTCAATATCTTGTACGGTTTTGTTTAGTGTAGCTGCCAATCATGCTGTAAATAATACACTTAATTGAAAGAAAAAATTAAAAAAATAAAAATTGCAGCAATTGGTCCCTGAAACGACGGCTCCAGTTGGTCGTTGCTCTTTAAAATGGAAAATTTCAACCTCACTTTTTCATTGTCGATATATAAATTAGGGGTGGGTGTCGAGTGGGTCAGTCTAGATATTTTAATATCCGGAACCATCTATTGTATTTCGGATATTTCATAAATAGACTCATTCGGTTCCACGTAATTATTGGACCCAAACCCAAACCGTCGGTTCCGGTTTGGGTTCGGTTCCACCCATAACTTTTTTTTTAATACACATTTAATAAATTCAATCATGTAATTAGACAAATTATTCACAAACTATCCATCGTGTAATAGATTTAGTAACTGACATTAATGGACTAATTGTCCGAGACATAAATAGAGTCTTAACAAATTGAAGTTACACAAAAAATTAATAAAATTAACCTTAAAAGAGTTTTAAAAATTAGTCAGAATTTAAAAGCATTTTAATATGACTATAGGACCAGCATAGAGAGCCAGAAAAAATGGTGACCCCAAAAAAATCTAGTTTTTTGAAGTAACCATATCAATACCCAAGAAAAATTCAAATAAAGATTTGAAGATAACATAATAGGGAAGAATAAATATGTATTGCAAGAGTTACAAAAATTACTTATGGCGTCGGTGCAATAGACGAAGCTATTGTAGCAAGAGTAGTGTTAACGAGAAGGAATTGGGAAAGAAGGGCGACAGAGGATTCTAGTGATTGAAAGAGGAAAAATGTGTTATTATATTTATAGGTTTGGTATTGGGTTATACCTAAATTGCTTTTGGGCAAGATATATGTATTTGGACTTAGATAACAAAAATGGGCCAAAAGCTTTGAAATGAATATTTTCTTTGGGCTGAATTGAGCAACCTATTTAGTGTTTCAAAAATTTCATTTCTAAGAAGGGAAAATATTGAAGGAAAAATTTCATTTCTAAGAAGGCAAGTATATCCTTTTTCAAAATTAAGAACAAATTTTTAAAGTTTCAAAAATTAGATTTTTTTTAATTTTTATTTATAAATTAATTTATTAAATATATATTTTATTAATTAAATATATTTAAGTCATAATTTTTTGTCATAGTTATCGAATTAATTAGCCACAGATTAATTTTTAGTCATAACTTATCAAATTATTGGTCGTAACTTATTTCTCAATCACAAATTAAAAATTTTATAGGTCACAAAATATTTTTTGGTCAAAAATCAAATTTTTTTACAGATAACAGATTATTCATCGATCACATATTTAAAACTTTTATTGGTTACAAATCATTTATTCATTGCAAATTATTTAATTAATTAGTCAATATTAATTTTTCGATCACAATTTAATTAATTATGAGTCACAATTTTTAGGTCACATATCCAATTGCAAGTCACAATCGAGAGTTAAGGGCATAGTCACAATTTTCAGCACCACTACCATCGCTGCCACCACAGCCAACAAAACCCACCCCAAACCGCATCCCCCCATTCCCTTAAATCACCACCACAAACGCCACAGCTAGCACCGCCAATGTCACCGATTTCCACAACCACCGCATTCACCACCACAATCGAGTCAAGAAATTTATTGGTCACAGACACTATTAATCCACCCGACTGATGCCGACGTTGCCGCCACCAACACCATGCTGCCATCACTTGCACCGCATCCAACAACCAAGAAAAAAATCAACACCACGATCTGTGCCGTCAACCATAAAAGAAAAAAAACATCAACACTGCGATTGTTGCTGATGCATCTGCGCCATCGCAATTTGCAAGCCTCCGACAACGTTTACACACCACGACAACCACCCCGATCGCCAGATCAGACACCATCGCAACACCTCAAAACAACCTACCGCAACACTTCAAACAAACCACAACCACCCCTCTGAATCACCACAACCACCACCGCCACACCGTCACCACACAAACACCGTCGCCACACCTTACAAAATTCACGATCGCCACAGATCGATGTTGCTGCTGCAAGTCGCCTCCAAATCACGACGCTACCGTTTGCAATAGCAACATCGATCGTCAACGCTGGCGAGGCTGTAACTGCTAGCACCACCATCATCTCCGATTCCAACAGCGTCGACCGGAGCAACTTCTTCATCGTCGAATTTTGAACAGAATTAGAGAGAGACGAGAGGGACAAGTTTAGAGAGATAAGAGAGGTTAGGGTTTGGGGCTAAATTGTGGGTTATATTTATTAAAAATAAATATTATATATATTAATTAATTTAAAACATTTGATTTTTGAATAATCAAATATTGGGTCTGATTTGTGAAGTTGGAATTTTAAACCTATGTAATTGTGTAATTTCCACAATATTAAATTTTGTAATTTTTTTAATGCAATCTAGTAATTATTAAAAATAAAAAAATTATAAAAAAATTGGTTCCATTCGGTTACCCACGGTTCCAATTCAAGAACCAAGCATCGAATCAAACCTACTTGGTTCTCGGTTTCGATTTCAGGTTCGAAAGATTCAGTTCCGATTAAAATGCACACCCTTAATATAAATAGTTTTGGTGAACAGAAAATTGACTAGCCTACCCGCGACTTCTTGAAATATATTTTGATTTCTTTGAACAGTTTAAGTTTATTCTCTTCCTTGAATTAATTATGATTTTATATTATGAGTTGTCTTAGATTATGACTTTTCTTTAAAATAAAGACAACGCCAGAATATTGGCACCGCGTTGAATTAGATGCAAGCTTTTTGAAGCACAGGCCATCGTACAATAATGTTGTACGAGATAGTATTAGGGATGGTAATTGGGCTCATCGGCTCGGACCGCCCATGACTCGACTATAAAAATGCTTGAATCTGCCCCGCTCGAGGCTCTAGAGAACCGAGCCGAAGCTTGGGCCGAACCCCATTTTGGGGTGTCGGACAAAGTTCGATCAGTCCATGTGGCTCGCCGGCTCAGGCTTACAAACCTATATTTAAAAAAATATATAAAAAATACAAAATAATAATAATAATAATAATAATAAGGCTGCAACACGCTGCCTTAACTGTGTTAAAGCGGTAGGTTGTTGCCTAAAAAAAAAAATAATAAAATAAAATCAAGTCGGCCCGGGGACTCGAAAAGGCCTGAGATAAAAATTCGGGTCGAGCCTAATTTTTTTGGCCAAACTTTTGCTGGGCTCGAGCCCAAAAAAAGCTCGATCAGTTTAATTAAGCTGAGCTTGAGCCTCGAATTTCGACTCGACTTGACTCGTTAACATTCCTAAATCGTATTCATGGACCTAGGAGTGGCAAGAAAGTGGGGATGGGTAGTGGTGAGGCCGCCCTCCCTGCCGGAGGAATTTCGCTAGACGAGCTGGGTGGGATAGAGGGCGACATTAAAATATCTTTATTTTTCACCTGTTTACTTCATATGCAGTTGACTTGAAAGAGACAACCATACTTAAAATCTCCTCTCTTTCAAGAATTATATAGAATAACCCGTGGGAAGAAAATCTCGAAAACCAGGACGTATGATTGGGTTTCATTTTCTCTCCGTTTTCAATAGATTAGTGTTGATGAATAATGTTGAAAAAAATTGAGTGAGCGGCTCACTTTTGACACAATTTTCGATGGGACTCGTTGGTCCAATGTGGAATATCAAAGTTGATATGTGTTCTTCTCCGCGAGAACATCGATTTCATGTATTTATTTGCCAAAAATGAAGCTCAGGTGAATGAGAAATTGAAGCTCAAAGTTGGTCATTGGAAGTTGGTTTTGTGGGAAAAAATGCATTTATCCCACATAGGAAAACCATGGAAACTTAAACAACTTTATATATAGCTATGCTTTGGAGATGTGTAATCATGTATAGTATAGAGGCTCTCTCCACGTGCGTGCGCAGGGGGGCAAATCACGAATCGAAATAGCCTTCGGAACTTGAATTTGGGTGCGGGCGCGACTTGCGCACACGAATGTCGGATCGAACAAGGCAAAAATGGCCCCGTCGATGAGCCCAATGACTTTTGAGTTTCTAAACTGAAAAAACTCCAATGAACTCACAATGGTCACAGTGTTAATGGGAAGTAACTCCAATGGACTCCCAATGGTCACAATATTAATGGATAGTATGCCTATAAAAAGGCTTATTCTCCAGCATACACAGTTTCTCACCTACATTCCTGAATACATAGTTTCTTCTTTTCTGCATTCCTTGTCCAGTAAGGTCTTGTTCTTGTGGTAATATTGTTCGGATACTAGATCAGTTCGTTGGAATATGACCGCGGTGCTCGGACTCTACTTATTACCGTTGTATCCTAGGAGACAGCCGCTCGAACTGAACCTCTAGCACCTACGGTAAGGGGGCGAAACTGTCTTAAGGAAACTGTGCATGCACAGGCCTCCGAAAGTAAAATAATCCCCAAAAACTTATACAATTACTAATCCAGTAATTGTAAAGGAAAATAAATTCATATCAAACATTCAAGAATTAAAAATGTATTTTGAATGTCAAAAATAAATAAAATCTTGAGTTAAAAGGTTATGATATAAGTTTCATCGTAATCCTAGCACTAAATTAATTTAATCTAGTATAATGTTGAAATTAAACAAATAAAGTTTAAACGACATCATCGAGAATTGACGGAACCTCATTAATTCTTGCAAAATTGTTGCTGCGTCTGCGGTCTGCATCTTTATGCGTGTCTTTCTCCTTTATTTCCCCAGTTCCGAGCTTAAATTCCCAAAGCCGCCACCAGTGTTATCATTTTCTTGTCTCTGTATGCATGTATAATTCTACTTCCCTTTTGTGTGCAAATAGGATCAATTCAAACCACTTTTGTAGTGTAAATAGGATTCCAGTTTGCTTTTTAATTAGAGACAATTACACGACTTATTTTTAAAGTTTACATTTCATTATTCAAGTTTTAAGTTTAATGTTACATAAATAAGTCTTCATTTAATATTTTTAATAACCACTCGATCTTTAAATTTCTTCTCTCTCCTCACACGGTCTCTATTCACACATTCTCTCTCTCTCTCTCTCCCCTCACACGGTCTCTATTCACACATTCTCTCTCTCTCTCTCTCCCCTCACACGGTCTCTATTCACACATTCTCTCTCTCTCTCTCTCCCCTCACACGGTCTCTATTCACACATTCTCTCTCTCTCTCTCTCCCCTCACACGGTCTCTATTCACACATTCTCTCTCTCTCTCTCTCCCCTCACACGGTCTCTATTCACACATTCTCTCTCTCTCTCTCTCCCCTCACACGGTCTCTATTCACACATTCTCTCTCTCTCTCTCTCCCCTCACACGGTCTCTATTCACACATTCTCTCTCTCTCTCTCTCCCCTCACACGGTCTCTATTCACACATTCTCTCTCTCTCTCTCTCTCGAATAAGGTAAGTGTATCATATCTAAAGTGTGAAAATAAAGTACATGATCACAGGGGCATACTTCCAGGAAACAAAGCTAGGAATATATGTCTTCCTAACACCAACAACAAGATCCTAGATTTTTAGCCTAGCCATGACAAGAGAAAATATCCACAAAAAAACCTTATGAGCATTGGAACCATCTATTTTCATTAGATGGAGCCAAACCCTTACATAAATCCACTTGTGCACAAATAGTAAAAACAATGTCCCGAATAACAACGGACTCATGTTTAGGAGCCTCACTAGGGGTCCTAGCATTACGCTCATGCCAAATAGCATAAATCGAAGCCGCAAACATCAAATGAATAATAGTAGAACACAATGACCTCCCATAAAACTGCTCCATCCAAGAAAGAGCATTTGATCATCTTTGTTGAACCCAAGGCAGGTTACATTTCACATGCAAAGCTTGCCAAACATGCTCAGAAAATGGGCAAGCAAAGAAAAGATGGTCTAGATCCTCCCCTGAACAACCACACAGTACACATCGCATAGACTGTATCAAGCCAAAGCGAAGCCGCAAACATCAAATGAATAATAGTAGAACACAATGACCTCCCATAAAACTGCTCCATCCAAGAAAGAGCATTTGATCATCTTTGTTGAACCCAAGGCAGGTTACATTTCACATGCAAAGCTTGCCAAACATGCTCAGAAAATGGGCAAGCAAAGAAAAGATGGTCTAGATCCTCCCCTGAACAACCACACAGTACACATCGCATAGACTGTATCAAGCCAAAGCGAAGAAGCTTTGTCTGTGGATAGAGGCCACCTTGAATTGCTAGCCAAAGAATAAATGCATAACGAGGAATACATTTAGGGAACCATACAATGTGATACCAGGTCACCCTAGGGCAACAAGGTCGAAGAGACTCCCAAGCGCTCCGAACAGAGAAGACTCCATGCACATCATGCACCCAACGCAAGACATCTTCTCTAGTACAATCCTGTCGAAAAGTATCAAGCGTGCCTTGCATGAAATCAGACAATGCTAAGGAGCAAGCTGATGGCCATCTCCAAGTGTCACCATCAACAATATCAACCACCTTAGCTAATCTGCTCAATCTAGATTCATGAACGATCCTCTCACCAAGAATCCTCTCTAAAGGGCCAAGAGGATGCCCAATAACAAACCAAAGCGAAGCAAGTATGCCATTACCAATTTTGAATTTCATCTTGTCCCTCCCTATGTCTCTAAGTCCAAGAATCTTCCTCCAAATCCAAGAGCAATCCCCAGGACATTTCAATTCCCACGGTTCTACCTTTAAGTAAGTAGCACTATGCCCATGAAACCCAAAGAGAGGACCCAGAATCCGTACAAAGCGACCAAAGGTATTTTAACATAGTAGCCTTATTCCATATCTCCATGTTCCATAGACCCAGGCCTCCCTCCTCCTTAGGAATACAAATTTTTGCCTAAGCCACTTTAATCCCACTGGTACCAAGGTCACATCCCTTCCACAAGAAGACTCGTAGAGTAGCTTCCACTTGCTTGATCACAGCCTTAGGTAAGATAAATACAGAAGACCAATATATATGAATAGAAAATAACACCAACTTAATAAGTTGTAACCTACCCGCATAGGAGCGTGCACGACAAGTCCAACTCTTTGCACTGGCTATAATATGATCCACCAACACCTTAACAATCTGAAGCTCGCAATTTGGTAGAGATAAGTGGAACACCAATATAACGTACCAGAAGCACACCCTCCTTATACCCCAAAACATTAAGTAACTGATCTTTGAGATATGATGAAACACCACTAGCAAATAGATTACTCTTATCTGGGTTAGGAGTAAGGCTAGAAAGAGCTTTGAATTGATTGAGGCAATCCCCAATGAGAGATACGAAACCAATCTTAGCTCTACAAAAGACCATGAGATCATCAGCAAAACACAAGTGGGTGATCTTCTCCTTCTCACACCTCCAGTAGTACTTAAAATCCTGCTCAGTAGCCATCAACCCCATTAACCCTGAAAAAACCTCCATTGCCAAGACAAATAAATAGGGCGACCAAGGATCTCCTTGTCTCAAACCTNTTTGCTTTCATGAGTGATTTCTATCGTTCCATAAGGAAATAATTTAGTAATTGTGTATGGTCCTGACCACCTAGACTTTAATTTACCCAGAAAAAGCTCGAGTTTAGAATTGTACAAAAAGACTTGTTGTCCAACCTCAAACTTTCTTTTTCGAATGTGCATGTTATGTCACTTTTGGTGCGCTCCTTGTAGAACTTTACGCTTTTATAGGTTTCCAATCGAAACTCATCAATTTCATTCAACTGAAATAATCTCTTTTCACTAGCTGTTTTCAAATAAAAGTTTAAGTTCCTGAGTGCTAGGTAAGCTCGGTGCTCCAACTCAACTGGTAAATGGCATGCTTTTTCAGAAAACAAAAGATAAGGAGACATGCCTATAGGTGTTTTGAAAGCTGTTCTGTAAGCCCACAAAGCATCGTTACGTTGCTTAGACCAATTATTTCTTGAAGAACTTACTGTTATCTCAAGTGGCTGCTTTAATTCTTGATTGGAGATTTCAAATTGCCAGTGGTCTGAGGGTGATAAAGGGTAACTATACAGTGCCAAACGCTATATTTAGCCAACAATGACTCAAATTGATGATTGCAAAACTATTTGTCCCCATCACTTAAGATAGCTACAGGTATGCCATAATGAGTAAAAATATATTTTTTTAGGAGCCCAATTACCCCTTCACGTCGTTGGTTGGCAATGCTACTACTTCAGCTTATTTAGAAACATAATCAACTGCAACAAGTATACACTGATTCGAGAAAAACAAAGGGAATGACCCCATAAAGTCAATCCCCACACACATCAAAATGTTCTATCTTAAGAATGATATTCAGAGGTATCTCGTTGCTTCCCAAGATATTTCCCGTGCGCTAATACTTGTCACACTTATTCACAAATTCAAAAGCATATAAGAATATTGAAGGCAAATAAAAACTAGACTATAGAATTTTAACGGCCGTCTTTGACGCACAAAATGTCTAGCATAGGTAGGAATGTCAATAGAGCTCGTCAGCTCAGGCTGCCCGTCGCTCGACCCCTCGAAAAGCCCGAGTCGACTCAGCTCGGGGCTCAGTAGACCTTAGCCAAGGCTCGGGTCGAGCCCCATTTTTGGGACACGAGCTTTGCCCGAGTCGGCCCATGAGCCCGCGAGCCTTTATTAAAAAAAAATCCTTATGGCAGTAAAATGCTACCTTGAAAGGCAACAACTTAAAAGGCAACAGGTTCGCTACCTTAAAAGGCAACAGCTTAAATTTTAAAAAAAAAAAAGGAGTGGGAGAGAAAGAGAGAAACGGGTCGGCTTGGCTCAGCTCGAAAAGGCCCAAATCGAAAGCTCGGGTTGAGCCTAAAATTTTTGGACAAGCTTTTGCTCGACCCAGCTTGGGCATGAAAAAAAGCTAAGCGAAGAAGCTTTGTCTGTGTATAGAGGCCACCTTGAATTGCTAGCCAAAGAATAAATGCATAACGAGGAATACATTTAGGGAACCATACAATGTGATACCAGGTCACCCTAGGGCAACAAGGTCGAAGAGACTCCCAAGCGCTCCGAACAGAGAAGACTCCATGCACATCATGCACCCAACGCAAGACATCTTCTCTAGTACAATCCTGTCGAAAAGTATCAAGCGTGCCTTGCATGAAATCAGACAATGCTAAGGAGCAAGCTGATGGCCATCTCCAAGTGTCACCATCAACAATATCAACCACCTTAGCTAATCTGCTCAATCTAGATTCATGAACGATCCTCTCACCAAGAATCCTCTCTAAAGGGCCAAGAGGATGCCCAATAACAAACCAAAGCGAAGCAAGTATGCCATTACCAATTTTGAATTTCATCTTGTCCCTCCCTATGTCTCTAAGTCCAAGAATCTTCCTCCAAATCCAAGAGCAATCCCCAGGACATTTCAATTCCCACGGTTCTACCTTTAAGTAAGTAGCACTATGCCCATGAAACCCAAAGAGAGGACCCAGAATCCGTACAAAGCGACCAAAGGTATTTTAACATAGTAGCCTTATTCCATATCTCCATGTTCCATAGACCCAGGCCTCCCTCCTCCTTAGGAATACAAATTTTTGCCTAAGCCACTTTAATCTCACTGGTACCAAGGTCACATCCCTTCCACAAGAAGACTCGTAGAGTAGCTTCCACTTGCTTGATCACAGCCTTAGGTAAAATAAATACAGAAGACCAATATATATGAATAGAAAATAACACCAACTTAATAAGTTGTAACCTACCCGCATAGGAGCTTGCACGACAAGTCCAACTCTTTGCACTGGCTATAATATGATCCACCAACACCTTAACAATCTGAAGCTCGCAATTTGGTAGAGATAAGTGGAACACCAAGATAACGTACCAGAAGCACACCCTCCTTATACCCCAAAACATTAAGTAACTGATCTTTGAGATATGATGAAACACCACTAGCAAATAGATTACTCTTATCTGGGTTAGGAGTAAGGCTAGAAAGAGCTTTGAATTGATTGAGGCAATCCCCAATGAGAGATACGAAACCAATCTTAGCTCTACAAAAGACCATGAGATCATCAGCAAAACACAAGTGGGTGATCTTCTCCTTCTCACACCTCCAGTAGTACTTAAAATCCTGCTCAGTAGCCATCAACCCCATTAACCCTGAAAAAACCTCCATTGCCAAGACAAATAAATAGGGCGACCAAGGATCTCCTTGTCTCAAACCTCTCCCTCCAGCAAAGAAACCTTGCAATTCGCCATTAATGGAAATTGAAAATCGAGTGGTAGTGACACATTCTGAAATCCACGTAACAACCTTCTCCAGAAAATTAAGCACCCTTAAACCGTAAAAAGAAAATCCCAACGAACAGAATCATAGGCTTTCATGAGATAAATTTTAAGGGCACATCTAGGCAATCCTCCATTGCGATGATAATTCCTCAACAACTCTCTTGGGATAGAAAGATATTATCACTAACATGTCTCCCTTTAACAAAAGCAGTTTGTTGAGATCCAACAATGTCTGGAAGTACCATCTTGACTCTCTTTATTCACACAGTTTGCAATTTCCAATGCCTCAACTGGCAGTGAAAGCGCCACCAGTATCTGCCCTAGCAACATGCTTTGTTGGGAGGTGACTATAATGCCTGAACGCACGAAGACGACACCCTTGGGTATTGTTGACAAATGCACCGTGTTGCAGTGTCTGTTGCTTCCACAATAGTTGGCAGCTACAGAGTCTTCAAGGTGCTGCTGTGGAAATGCCGTTATACCATTCCGGAGTTGGATGCTGAAACGTCATTTTGTAGGCATTACAATGGTGGGTTGAAGGGTTTACAATGGCGGGTTGGAAGCACTGCATTGGCACCTTGGGTGTTGTGGTTGCGCCTTGAGTGCCCTTGATAAGATCTAGAGGGGTCTGGATCCTAACTTTCTTCGATTTTAATTTCGTCGTTGTCTCCAATTGGACATTGTTTTCTTGACTATTTTTTCCCCAAAGAGGCTGATGGTTCTCGTGATTATACATTCTGATCAGCGCACTCCGCCGTGATTGATGCTCTCCATGACTACCGGTGGGATTGTCTCTTGATCTTCTCAACTTCAATCACCGCCTCTTTTTCATCCTTAGTGGTGGTGCATTGGAAGCGATGGTGGTGGATTGTGATATTGGTTTGATGTGTGTGCAGATTTGCTTGTAATGACCCCATGTGATCAAGTATATCTTTGTTGTAACTATTTGTGACTAATTTTTTGTTGATTGTGACTGGCTGTAACTTGGTCACAGTTAGAATTGACCTAGTCATAGACAGTCACACTCAATAAAAATTTGGTCACTATTAGTGACATCAAAGAGAAATTTGGTCACAATTAATCACATATAACATAAGTCAGTACATACAGTTACAAATTAGACGATCACATACAATCATAGCGAAAATAAAATTACTCACAAATAGTTGCATAAAACACAGGAATAGTTACGAACAATAAATATGGTCAGAGATAAATTTTCGAAAATTTTTCTACAATGGAGTATAGAGAGATATATTGTTTTCAATATTTGTAGATTTTTGTATCGTCGAAGTCGGAGTGGTTGTTGGAGTGATCGTCGAAGCGATCAGTTAAAAGGTCATCGGAGTAATCTTCGGAGTGGTCATCGGTGCCGATGGCCACCTCCGATGGGGAAAAGGGGTAGAAAGATGATAGAAAGTAGAATGAGAAAGAGAATGGCTTGGATTTGAAATTTGGTGCAATTAATTATATTATATTATAATTGAAAATTTAATAAATTGATTTATCACCTGATTTTTGAAAAGTTTTATGGAGTTTGTTAGTTTTAAGATGTGTTTTTTTATACGTAGGATCTATATATTGTTCCCAATTAGAGAAATTACATCGTGCAGCTAGCTTCGAAGCCATGTTTGTCGCTTCTACAATAGTTCGCAACTACATAGTCTTCAAGGTGCTGCTGTGGAAATGCCGTTATACCATTCCGGAGTTGGATGCTGAAACGTCATTTTGTAGGCATTACAATGGTAGGTTGCAAGTCTGTGATGGTGGATTGGAAGAATACATTTGGGGGAGATATAGTTGGGGAAAATCAAGATCAAGCCATCAAGAATTCAAATCCAAAAGTGTTTTATCTTCACTCTTGTATTTTCTTCATTATTGTATCCTATTTGTAACGTATTGTGTAAAATATTCTCATTTTTATCATTTATATAATATGAGCTAATTTATTTATATTGGAATTTATGGTTCAAGTTTAATTTAGCTTTAATTAATTTCAATGTTTGCTAGTTAATATTAAAATGCATGTTTTCTGATGTTTCTACTATTGTATTTATTGCATGTTCATTTATATGGCTAATGAATGATTATGTTTAGTGATTTGTCCATCGTTCGAAAGAAGATTGCGCATTTTAAACAAAATAGTAGAAATTCTAAGTTTGTGTAAGGGATAAAGATATACTCCTAACCCTGGCGACCCATTGAGTTATTTTCACAAATATTTAATGTGGTTGTTTGGTTTGAATCGACGTAGAGATATAGTACGTTAAACTAATCAATTAGGGTTAATTTCGCTCGAGAGAAGTAATTAACTAAAATTGAAAAATCGGGTCTAACATCGTAAATGAGTAGCTTGCTAATTGGCTTGTGAAGAAATTAATCAGGCGACGATTAAGCGAAATCATAAATTCCAACCACGTTTTCCTCCGAGATTTCCAAAATTTTTATATTTTCTTATTTTGTAGACTTTTAGTTATTTTCTTGATCTTCCAAAATCATAAATTTATTGTGTGTTTTTTTATTGTTAGAATCAAATTAATTAAAGTTGTGTGTCGAAAGTATACACTCATCGAGTGATCAACAATCCAAACTCAAGATGTTCACTTTATTACTTGAACGTGAACCGTGCACTTGTGATTTGCACTTTAGCGGACACTTAACTTTCTTCGATTTTGATTTCGTTGTTGTCTCCAGCTGGATCTTATTTTCTTTATTGTTTTTTTTCCCAAAAAGAGGCTCGATAGTTCTCGTGATTCTACATTTTGATCAGCGCTCTTCGCTATGATTGATGCTCTCTGTGATTACTAGCGCAAAGACAGGTGGTCTCTTGATCTTCTTCAACTTCAATCACCGCCTCTTCTTCATACTTAGTGGTGGTGCATTAGAGGTGATGGTGGTGGTGATTGGTGGTGGATTGTGATATTACTTTGAGATGTGTGCAGATTTGTTTGTGGTGACCCCATGTGACTAAGTATGTGTTTATTTTGACTATATGTGATCAATTTTTTGTTGATTGTGACCGGTTGTGACTTGGTCACAATTAATATTGACCTGATCATAGACAGTCATACTCAATACAAATTTGGTCACACTTAATTACATCAAAGACAAATTTGATCACACTTAATCACAGATAACATAGGTTAGTGAATTCATTACATACAGTTACAAATTAAACGGTCACACACAGTCACAACGAAAACAAATAGTCACATAAAACACATGTATAGTCACAAAAAATAAATCTTGTCATAGATAAATTTTTGGAGATTTTTCTATAGAGATTTTTTTATCGTCGAAGTTGGAGCGATCGTCAAAGTGGTCACCGAAGAGGTCATTAAAGTAATCGTCGGGCCAATTGTCGCCTCTGATGGGAAGAAAGGGATAGGTAGATGATAGAAAATAGAGAGAGAAAGAGACTGACTTGGATTTGAAATTTGGTGTGACTAATTGTATTATATTATATTTAAAATTTAATAAATTGATTTATCACCTGATTTTTGAAATGTTTCATGGAGTTTGTTAGTTTTAAAATGTGTTTCTTATATGTAAAATTTATGTATTGTTCCCTTTTAATTATATTCTAATCAATTGCCAATTACGAGTTCAATTAGAAAAGAATCCAATTCATTTTCAATTTCACTCCTATTACAAGTCCAATTTCAAAGCCCAACTAAGTGTGACTTTCACTTCAAGTATTATGCTAGCTAATCTTTAATACATATTTATTTGTATAGCCCATGTTCTTTTTAAATCAATTCAAGCCTTTTAATTTCTCTTTATGTGAATATTAGTTTTCAAATTTCCATGCGATGACCAATTTGTCCTTCATATTTTTTTAATTGCTTTACATGAGTCCATAACTAAAAACAAAAGAAAATTAACTCAAGTTGACCACTTAAAAGTTTAGTAATATGGCTTGTATAAGTGCACAAAATGGACTTATCAAACACCACAAACTAAAACCTTTGTTCATTCTCAAACAAAATAATACAAAACTTAGGTATGAAACATATTACTATCCTAAACAAATCACAAATAAAATACTCAACGTTGAACTGCTTACCAGATGCTTGATGTTCGAATTTGAGTAATACTTTAGCAAGATTCAAAACAAGATCAAAAATATTTTGCTTATCTGATGCTTGATTTAGTGTGTGTGTGTGTGTGTGTGTGTTTGTGTAGCCAACATTGAGCTCATACTACACTAGAACACAACTAATCAAGTGCTATTAATTCACTCATAATCTCAATCTTCTTGTGCTCAATTTTTCCTCACACCTCTCGTACAAAATCACTCATTATGCTTTTCTCTCAAATCCTGATGTATTTCTAGCACATGTGGGTTCCTAAAAATCATTATGATACATTTTTCCACACAAAGTAATCAGAATTCGATACTTATATCTCTAAGAGGTAGATGGTAAGTATTTATCTAAATCACACCACCAGCTTATAGAGTTCAAATCTCAAAGTTTTTACCTGGTACATCTCACTTTTAAAAATCTATTTCTCTCTCTCTCTCTCTCTCTCTCTCCATTTTGACATTTCCCATGCAAGACTTTATCCATTAAATTTTCTAAATGACCCATGTATCGAGTTTTAGGCCGATGACTCCCAAATCAGATTATTATAGGGCATTAGGTTTTAAGATATCCTTGCAGGTTTAATAACTCGAGTTAAAAAAGCTACAAAGAGAGGTAAAATATGTATCACTTTTTTTTATATGAGAATATAATTTTTTATTCTTTTGACATCTTATGTGCAAAACTTCTTTCCATTAAACTTTCTAAATGACCCCTATAGAGAGCTCTATGTCAATGACTCCTAAGTTAAATGTCTATAAAGCACCAAGTCTTAAAGACCCTAGTAGGCTTAATCATTCGAGTCATGAAAACTACAAAAAGAAGTAGAAGATGTATGAGATTTGAATTTTAAAAATGATCAATGCCCATTTTAGACTTCTTAACTCAAACTCCTTCAACTAATGTTGGGATCCGAGAACTCCAAACCATCAAACTTCTATGAAAATAAGCACTAACCTTCTCATCCCAAACTACAACTTGGTTTGATTTCAATATTAAGGATTCAGAAATTCTATTCAGACCTAGGTCGATGTATCAACAATTAAATCCACACAATCAAGTCATACTTCAACATAAGTGATCAATCAATAACAGCTATGTGCTCAAATAATCAAGTCTAACGTAGGTAAGTACTCAAGTAAAAGCATAAGTGATGGTGTTGTCTAGTTCTAGCTAAATCTGTACTCAATTCAAACAAATAAACATTATCATAGACGGCAAGTCGTTCAACGCTAATTAGACACTTAGTTTGGTTTTTTTTTTCAATTTTTTTAATCTTTTCAATTTTTTTACAGTTATACAGACTCGATTAGCAGTTGAAAAGTAAATATATATTTCAAATATCGTAATATTTACCTATCTCCAAAATAAAAATATTACATTGTCCCAATGTAAAAGCTAAAATAATCAAAATAAAGGAGTAATGATCAAAAATTCGTCGGGATAGATATGAATAGGTAGAATAATCAAGCTGACACGACTGGTGAACTTCATGACAACAACTACTTTTTCTTGTTGCTAGGCTTTAATTTGTTGTTCCAAGAATCTAAAATAAATACTAGTAATAATATATAAGGTTTAAATATTTGCAATGAATTCATACCAAGAAATTTCTAGTCTTCAAACTTTTAGAAAGACTATCTAATAGAGCGTCATCCCTGTAAAAATCTTATAGCTAGGAAAAGATGAGTCTTTCAAAATGGTTTGGAGATTGAAGTCTAGGTGCAACTTTAAAAATGCATATCACATCAATGTAAACTCAATAAAACACTAGGATGTGGACGATGAGCTTAAGTAAAAATGAGCCCAATAAGTAAACATGTTTAAGTTAATAATGCAAGTCTTAAAATATTTCCTAAAATGTATTAATAATAATTTAAATGCACAAGTTCTTAATTATGGTCCTAAAATACTAATACAAATCCTCAAGTTATATGTAATGCAATGAGTAATAAGAATAAAAATTATGGGATGAGAAAATGGGTTGCCTCCCATCAAGTGCTCAATTTATAGTCTAGAACTCGACTTGTTCATTCACTCAAATGTTACAAGATGAATTGTTGATTTTTTTTTCAATAATTCACAGCTCCAATATAGCTTTAATTGCTGTCATTAACCTTAAAGGGTTCATTTGCTTTCATGAGTGATTTCTATCGTTCCATAAGGAAATAATTTAGTAATTGTGTATGGTCCTGACCACCTAGACTTTAATTTACCCAGAAAAAGCTCGAGTTTAGAATTGTACAAAAAGACTTGTTGTCCAACCTCAAACTTTCTTTTTCGAATGTGCATGTTATGTCACTTTTGGTGCGCTCCTTGTAGAACTTTACGCTTTTATAGGTTTCCAATCGAAACTCATCAATTTCATTCAACTGAAATAATCTCTTTTCACTAGCTGTTTTCAAATAAAAGTTTAAGTTCCTGAGTGCTAGGTAAGCTCGGTGCTCCAACTCAACTGGTAAATGGCATGCTTTTTCAGAAAACAAAAGATAAGGAGACATGCCTATAGGTGTTTTGAAAGCTGTTCTGTAAGCCCACAAAGCATCGTTACGTTGCTTAGACCAATTATTTCTTGAAGAACTTACTGTTATCTCAAGTGGCTGCTTTAATTCTTGATTGGAGATTTCAAATTGCCAGTGGTCTGAGGGTGATAAAGGGTAACTATACAGTGCCAGACGCTATATTTAGCCAACAATGACTCAAATTGATGATTGCAAAACTATTTGTCCCCATCACTTAAGATAGCTACAGGTATGCCATAATGAGTAAAAATATATTTTTTTAGGAGCCCAATTACCCCTTCACGTCGTTGGTTGGCAATGCTACTACTTCAGCTTATTTAGAAACATAATCAACTGCAACAAGTATACACTGATTCGAGAAAAACAAAGGGAATGACCCCATAAAGTCAATCCCCACACACATCAAAATGTTCTATCTTAAGAATGATATTCAGAGGTATCTCGTTGCTTCCCAAGATATTTCCCGTGCGCTAATACTTGTCACACTTATTCACAAATTCAAAAGCATATAAGAATATTGAAGGCAAATAAAAACTAGACTATAGAATTTTAACGGCCGTCTTTGACGCACAAAATGTCTAGCATAGGTAGGAATGTCAATAGAGCTCGTCAGCTCAGGCTGCCCGTCGCTCGACCCCTCGAAAAGCCCGAGTCGACTCAGCTCGGGGCTCAGTAGACCTTAGCCAAGGCTCGGGTCGAGCCCCATTTTTGGGACACGAGCTTTGCCCGAGTCGGCCCATGAGCCCGCGAGCCTTTATTAAAAAAAAATCCTTATGGCAGTAAAATGCTACCTTGAAAGGCAACAACTTAAAAGGAAACAGGTTCGCTACCTTAAAAGGCAACAGCTTAAATTTTAAAAAAAAAAAAGGAGTGGGAGAGAAAGAGAGAAACGGGTCGGCTTGGCTCAGCTCGAAAAGGCCCAAATCGAAAGCTCGGGTTGAGCCTAAAATTTTTGGACAAGCTTTTGCTCGACCCAGCTTGGGCATGAAAAAAAGCTCGACAATTTTAGCCGAGTCGAGCTCAAGCCTCAAGTTTCGGCTCGCGAGTCGGCTCGGCTCGACTCGTTAACATCCCTAAGCATAGGTAGATAAATGACACTGCTCGAATATCTGAAGGACCTTTTCTTTAGGAATACACCACTTAATAATTTGATATGGGCTTCCTCTGTAAAGAATAGGACCTCCCAAAAATAGTATTTTAACTCAAAAAAGAATTTCTTCTTTTGATGACTGGAATAGTCTGTGGAATGATGGATTTGGCAAAATAATTCATTATATTTGCATACCATGGTGCATCCTCTACATTAAAAATCTTTCTATCAGGAAAGACCTCATTTATGTCCATTGATTTTTCCCGTTCTCCATGTGTAAGTCGGAATAAAAGATCACTACTACGTTTTCACTTCTCTTCTTGTCTTTTATCTCCAAATAAAATTCTTACAAGAGTAATACCCATCTGAGCAATCTTGGTTTTGCATATTTCTTTGTAATCAGATACGTTAAAGTTGTATTGTTTGCATAGACTATTACCTTTCATCCAACTAGATATGATCGAAATTAATCAAAGGCATAGACTACAGCTAGAAGTTTATTCTCAATGGTGGCATAGTTTAGATATACATCATTCAATGTCTTGCTTACATAGTATATTATATGAAAAATTCTATCTCTGCGTTGTTCCAATAAGACTCTCACCGCTTAATCACTTGCATTACATAACAATTCAAAGGGTAAACTCCAATTTGGTGCAACTATTACTGTTGCTGAAGTTAACGTATCTTTTAGAATGTTGAAAGCTAATAGATAATCTTTAGAGAAGTCAAAAGGAACATCTTGACTAGCAAATTGCACAACAATTTAGTATCTTAGAGAAGTTGTTGATGAAGCGGTGATAAAATTAGGCATGACCATGGAAACTGCGAACACCCTTGACTGAGCTTGGTGGTAATAATTTATCAATAACTTCAATCTTTGCCTTATCCACTTCAATCCCTTTAGCTGAAATCCAATGTCCCAATACAAAGCCCTTTTGTACCATGAAGTGGCACCTTTCCAGTTTAGTACCAATTTTGTTTCCTTCCACCACTGTAAGACCAATTTTAAGTGCTCAAAACACTCATCAAATGAAGAGCCGAAAATTGTGAAGTCATAAATAAAGACTTCTATGAATTTTTCCACCATATAAGAGAAGATGGCCATCATGTAATGTTGAAATGTAGCGGGAGCATTATATTGACCAAATGACATCATACGATAAGAAAATGTGTCGTAGGGACAAGTAAAAGTAGTCTTCTCTTAATCCTCGGGTGCTATCGAAATCTGATTATAACCAGAGTATCCATCAAGAAAGTAATAATGAGAGTGACTTGCCAAACTCCCCAACATTTGATCAATAAATGGAAGAAGAATGTGAACATTCTGAGTAGCGTTATTGAATTAGCGATAATTAATGCAAACTCTCCATCTCGTAACAGTTCTAATGGGAATTAGTTTATTCTTCTCATTCTATACCACTGTGATACCTCCATTTTGGCACAACTTGAACAGTACTGATCCATGCACTGTCTAAGATAGGATATATGATTTCTACATTAAAAGCTTTAAAACTTTTGCTTTGAACACCTCTTTTATATTTGGATTAAGTCTCCTCTGGCTGTCTATACTACGTCGAAAATTATCTTCCATGAGAATTTTATGCATGCAATGTGTAGGGTTGATCCCACTGATGTCCGCTATAGACCACCCAATAGCTATCTTATTTTCTTTGAGTACTCGCAGTAATCTTACTTCTTCAATCTCATTATCAAATTTGAAATAATAACACGTAAAGTGAACGATTATCCCAAGTATGCATAACGAAGATGAGGTGGCAACTGCTTGAGCTCTAACTTAGGGAGCTTCTAAATTGATGGCAAAGCTTTGTAGGACTCGTGCCTAACTACTCAAAGTGTGGTCTGTGCCTATATAGAGGATTAGTTTCAAGATTTCTTATCCATATATCAATCTCATTAGAATCAAAATGAGTGGATTGAGAGTGTACAATGCACACCTCATATAGATCCAATAGATTATGCAACTGGAAGTTGTCATGAACTGCCTTATTAATTACACCGAGCTGAAAGCAACTTGTGACTCAGTTGGATATTTTATGGCCTTGAACACATTAAATGCGACATGCTCCTCACTAAGCCTAAAAATTGGTTAACCTTTTTTGCACATCAATAAGAGCTATACTAGTACCTAAAAGTGGCCAACCCAAAATAAGTGGAATGTTACTATCATCCTCAATGTCAAGAATAAGAAAGTCACATGGGAAAATGAATTTGTCCACTTTCACCAAGATATATTCAATGATTCATCTTGGGTGCGTGATGGACTGATCGGGTAGCTGTAAATTTACTGTAGCTGTTATAGCATCCCCAAGTCTAGTTTCCTAAAAACAAAGAATGACATCAATTTAATACTTGTTCTAAGATCACATAAAGCTTTATCAAAATAATAATCGCCTATAGTATAGAGTACAGTGAAACTCCCTTGATATTTTAATTTCGGAGGTAGCTTATTTTGTATTTTGGCACTACACTCCTTGGTAAACATCACTATCTCATGTTCATCTAGCTTGCATTTGCTAGATACTATATCTTTAAAAAAATTTGGTATAACTAGGCATCTGAAGGAGTGCATCAACAAATGGTATGTTGATGTGAAGTTTATTGAAGACCTCAATGAATTTTATACACTATTTGCCTAACTTGTGCTTTTGCAGTCTCTGAGGAAATGGAATCAGAGGCTAGTATATTTGATAGGAGCAGTTGTTTTAACCCGTGGTGTAATTGAACTCCCTTTGGTGATGTTCTGAATATCTGTTTAGTCTGTTCCACTTGCTCCTCATCAGTAAAATGTATTTTCTCTTTACTTGAAACCGATCTATTAATGTGAATCTCAAGTAACTGGAATCCACTCCTAGCGATAATTGTTTTGACATATTCCTGGATTAACTTTTGTATTGCTTGGTAATGTACATGGTGCTCTATCTGATATAGCATGTGCCATCTGTCCCATCTAAGACTCCAAATTTTTAATTTTTGCACTATGATTCTTAAGAGTCATCTTAGTCTTTCTCATGAATTGATTATTTGTCTCTATGTAGTGATATTTTTTCTACGAATTTATTGCTTGCTGAAATTGAGAACCCTATGGCCTATCAGAATTGTGATTACTTCAAGATAAATTTGGATGCTTCCTCCAACCAAGGTTGTAGGTGTCAAAATATTGGTTATTTTGTCGGTGCTGACCCCCATGTACATAGTCAACTTGTTTTGCATCTTGTGCAAGAATTGTGTAGTTTGCTGTGCTATGATCTTCCCCACATTCTTCATAATTTGACCGCTTGGCATGTATTGTATTGGCTGACTGAAAGATGCTCTCAATCTTATAAGATGAAGAGTCAATTTTGGTAGATAGAATCGTATAAGTGTCCATCCCGTATACTTCTGGTACCTTCTTGTGAACAACTTGCTCAGATGTTCACATGGCTGTGGTAGTAGCCACTGTCTCAAACAATTCCAAGGCTTCACCAATTGTCTTCGTGGATAAAGAGACATTGGATGAAGAATCCCCCATGCTCTTATAAAATGGAAGTAGACCTACATAAAAATATTGGACCTGGATCCCTTTACTGATGCCGTGATGGGGACACTTCCAAAGCATGTTCTCGAATCTGTTCCAAGTCTTATCAAAGGTTTGGGAGGGGAACAATAGCTGGAAACCGCTGTAATACCCTGTAGGCTGAGGAGCAAAATGAGGAATTCACCTGAGGAAGGGCTTGCGTCTGATTAGCTAGTTGGTGAAGCAATAGCTTAGTATAAATTGCGGAGTAAGTGAACTTCTAAATGAAACCCTGAAATTAATAAAGATGGGCGATCTTGAGCCAAATCCTGCTTTTCAACTTTGCAATCTTCGTTGATGGGAAGAATTTGATGCAGAATTTTTGAGCCAAATCATTCTAAGTAGTGATACTGGCAACAGGCCGTGAATCTAACCACTCAAGGACTTCAGAATGTAGAAACAATCTCAATCTAATAGCATCATCTAAAACCCCTTGATTTTTTAAAGTGTTGACACATATCCAAATATCGAGAGACGTGTGTGTGTTGAATTTTATCGGCTCTGCTATAGAATTGATGTCCAATATGAAACAACTAGATGACATTGGTCTTCAACTGAAAGTTCGACTGCTTAAAGGAAGGATACACGATGCTAGATTGTCTCTGAATAATTTGTAGAGTCATGAAGTCTCCAACTAACATATTCCCTCATCTATCACTGCCTCTTCATTCACTAGAATAACCGGATTATTCTGTACATTAGCCATTTTTGTTGTTGTGCTTCTCCAACTTCCCTTTGCCTACGGTGAAAAAGGATTTCGATTTTCGGATTAGCTGGTATCAATTCATCGTCGCTCAAGTTTTGCATAAAATGTCTGAATAGATAGAAAATAGAAGCACCGAAGTAAATTGATAGAGATTAATAAAATAAGATAAATCAAGAAGTTCGAATTAGTGCCAATGTAATTAACATTACATTCAAATATAATCGACGAATTATTGTTCAATCAAAAAGATTGCAAGTGCACGTTTCGTTAACAAGTAGTAAAATGAATTTTGAGTATAAGTATCGTTTCCACAGAGAATGCACTAGTTCAAATTTACTTGGGAGCCGTTTGGTACCCATTTTTTTTCAAAATGCAATTTTCTCTCTCTTCTTTTCAACCACACATTCTTTATCAAAATAATATTACATGTAAATAAAAAACATTTCTTTATTTTTCAACCACACATTTTCCATCAATTTACTATTCAAAAATTCATTTTTACATAAAAAATGGCTACCAAACACCCCCTTAGCTTTGACCAAAACAATTGAAATTTCTGATTTTTCCTGCAAATTAAATAACATACTTATTAATGCAAAATCTAACTTAACTAAAATAAATGTAAGATTATAATTAAATGCAAGTTTTATAAAATATGAAGACGAAAAGCAAATTATGATTCTGAATCCTCTTATATCAATCCCTTTATTCTCGAAATATATAAATTTGACAACACAATTCAATTATGAAGATGAATATTTCTAATTTGTTTAACAATCTCTCTCTCTCTCAAATGGAACTAAACATATTCTTACATGTGTATTTTTATAACAGATGCGAACATATAAAAATGCACTAAAGATTTATAAATACTTAAAGATCACGTAAGTATAACGGTACATTTTTATTCCTTATCGAATTCTACGACAATTAGTAATATGTCTAACTTATTTTCAATATCTCAAAGGTAA